ACTTCAGTGTAGTTTTGTTTGTTTTAATATTTTTTTATTTTAGTTTATTATTTTATTTAGGTTTATTGTTTTATTACTTTAGTATAGTTTCTTTTAATATGTTTTATTCGATTTCAGTTTATTATTTAGTTGAGTTCATTATTTTATTCACTAAGTTCATTGTTTGAATATTTTTATTTTTTGTTTATTATTTCATTGAGGTTTATTATTGTATTAGTTTAGTATAGTTTCTTTTAATATGTTTTATTCCATTTCAGTTTATGATTTAGTTGAGTTCATTCTTTTATTCGCTAAGTTCGGTTTGTTTGAATAGTTTTATTTTTGGTTTATTATTTCATTGAGGTTTATTATTTGATTCGTTTAGGATAGTTCATTTTAATATTTTTTGATCTTATTTTAGTGAATCATTTTAGTTGAGTTGATGAGCTGGTTAGTTTAGTTTGTTTTAATATTTGCATAATATATATGCAAATATATATGCTATATTATGCAAATATTATTATGCAAATGTTATTATGCAAATATTTAACAAAGGAGAAAGGCAAGCTGGCGAGCTGGGCTGCGTTTTAGCTCAGCTGAGGCGCGGCAATCCACTCTCCGTGCGAATCAGCTGAGCTGATAAACAACAGAATGTAGTCGGAGACGGAAGAGCACGGACGGACGGGCGGGCCCAGGCAGAGGTGGCATTTGCCGGGTCTCCGAACCAGTCAAAAATTTTGGCCACCGGTCCGCCTGAACCAGTGTGAACCGTCTGAATGCCACCTCCGGCCCCGAACCATTTCCTGTTGCCTCCCCCCCGCAGTTGAACGATGGTCAGTTTACGCCCATCCAGCTGGTCGGGATGTTGCGGGGTATCGCCTCCGGCATGCGCTATCTCTCCGACATGAGCTACGTTCACCGCGACTTGGCAGCCCGGAACATCCTGGTCAACAGTAACCTGGTTTGCAAAGTGTCCGACTTCGGCCTCTCTCGTTTCTTGGAGGAGAATTCCTCGGATCCGACCTATACGAGCTCGTTGGTACGTCTGGCTTGTCCCTTTTTTGTTTCGCGCCGTGGACAACAAGCCAGGATGGGTGGGCGGGAGGGGAAGGGGGTGGACTCGATGATCCTCACGCTCTCTGCCCCCTCCCCAATTCTACCCTCCCTCTTTCCTCAGGGGGGCAAAATCCCGATCCGCTGGACAGCCCCTGAAGCCATCGCCTTTCGCAAGTTCACGTCGGCCAGCGACGTCTGGAGTTACGGCATCGTTATGTGGGAGGTGATGTCGTTCGGAGAGAGGCCCTATTGGGACATGTCCAACCAGGATGTGAGTGGCTCCCCCCCGTGAGGATGACTTGTGGGGGGGCTCTGGGACCCCCTCAAATGCCCCACTCAAAGTTTTTCCCCGCCTGGTTCACACAACCTACACTTAAACCTGGACTAAGGGATTGGTTTCCCTGACCCCGTAGAATTCCTCGTGTCCTGTGCCGGTGTGTAACTGGGGAGAGCACGGAAGGCCAATCTCTGAAAAGTTGTCCCTCTTCCGGGCAGTTTTTTCCTCTTCCCAATCTCTGGGTGGTCTCCCATCCCATAACTAATCAGCGCTGACTGACTCTCCTTAGGGTTTTGCAATCACATTCTCCAACTAGGGATTCATATTCTCCAACCAAAACACCTTCATAGCTGAGCGTCAACAATCACGTTCTCCAACTAGGGATTCATATTCTCCAACCGAAACACCTTCATAGCTTACTGTCAACAATCACATTCTCCAACTAGGGATTCATATTCTCCAACCAAAACACCTTCATAGCTAAGCAACAATCACATTCTCCAACTAGGGATTCATATTCTCCAACCGAAACACCTTCATAGCTGAGCATCAACAATCACATTCTCCAACTAGGGATTCATATTCTCCAACCGAAACACCTTCACAGCTGAGAGTCAATAATCACATTCTCCAACTAGGGATTCATATTCTCCAACCGATACACCTTCATAGCTGAGTATCAACAATCACATTCTCCAACTAGGGATTCATATTCTCCAACCGAAACACCTTCATAGCTGAAAGTCAACAATCACATTCTCCAACTAGGGATTCATATTCTCCAACCGAAACACCTTTACAGCTGAGAGTCAACAATCACATTCTCCAACTAGGGATTCATATTCTCCAACCGAAACACCTTCACAGCTGAGAGTCAACAATCACATTCTCCAACTAGGGATTCATATTCTCCAACCGAAACACGTTCATAGCTGAGAGTCAACAATCACATTCTCCAACTAGGGATTCATATTCTCCAACCAAAATACCTTCATAGCTGAGCGTCAACAATCACGTTCTCCAACTAGGGATTCATATTCTCCAACCAAAACACCTTCATAGCTGAGCGTCAACAATCACGTTCTCCAACTAGGGATTCATATTCTCCAACCGAAACACGGTCAGACCTGAGAGTCAACAATCACATTTTCCAACTAGGGATTCATATTCTCCAACCGAAACACCTTCACAGCTGAGAGTCAATAATCACATTCTCCAACTAGGGATTCATATTCTCCAACCGATACACCTTCATAGCTGAGTATCAACAATCACATTCTCCAACTAGGGATTCATATTCTCCAACCGAAACACCTTCATAGCTGAAAGTCAACAATCACATTCTCCAACTAGGGATTCATATTCTCCAACCGAAACACCTTCATAGCTGAGCGTCAACAATCACATTCTCCAACTAGGGATTTATATTCTACAACCGAAACACCTTCATAGCTGAGCGTGAAAATCCCTCCAACTAGGGATTTTTCGCCAGCAGAAATTCCGGTAGCTTAAGTTACAATCTTTTGCAAGAGAAGAATGGATGGCACTTTTGGTTTTTCAACTGCCACATTTCTCCTTCAAAAGAAAAGGGACTTATGACCATTTTTCACACTTAATGACCGATAGAGCATCCCCAGGACCTCAATTCGAGTGCTTGGCAACTTTCTTGTACTTACAACAGTCTCTGTGTCCCACCGGGGTGTGTGTGTGTGTCACGTGATCCCCTTTTACGACCTTGAATGACTGTAGTGTTGGACTTAACCACTGTGGTCATAAAATGGGGGCAAAACTCCCCTGTTCTTGCTTAGGAAGGGAAATTCGGAGCTCTGTTGTGCAGTCGTAAGTCAAGGGACTTGCTGGGTCTTCGAGTTGTGATTTTTTCCCCACGGATCCCCATCCTGCCGTTAATGGCAGACCTACTTTGGCCTGCCCTCCCTCAGATAACAGATCATCCGAGTTGGAAGGAACCTTCTCGGTCATCTAGTCCAACCCCACGCATTGCCCAAACGGGAGACCCTACCCCATTTTTCTGACAAATGGCAGTCCAATCTCAAGTGATGGCGCTCCCACAACTTCTGAGGGGAAGCTGTTCCATTGGTCCTCCTTCTTCCTCTTCCTCCTCCTCCTCACCCCCCGGGCATTTCCCTCTCCTTCCCCAGGTGATCAACGCCATCGAGCAGGATTACCGCCTTCCGCCCCCCACCGACTGCCCCACCTCCCTTCACCAGCTGATGTTGGACTGCTGGCAGAGAGATCGCAACGCCCGGCCTCGTTTCGCCCAGATCGTCAACTCCCTGGATAAGCTGATCCGCAACCCTGCCAGCCTCAAAATCGTCTCGCGGGGAAACGGCGGGTAAGTGGGACGGACACAGACAGACACAAGACGTACAAACACACACACCAACCCCAACCCCAACAAAGCTTGGTCCTTGGGCTGGGCAGTGGCGGGCCCTTGCCGTATCCGTCAACGTTGCGGCTTTGGGAAAAGCGGGAGGTTTATTTCATATTCAACCCAGGGAGATGCAAATAGTTTGACTACCGGTTCTGTGGGCGTGGTGTGGTGGGCGTGGCCATGCCCTGGGTGGGCATGGCTTCTTTGCTTTTTTTGCAGCGCCTTTACCCCCCCTTTTTTTTGGGCCTCCTGGGCGAAGCCGTATGAGAGCGAGGGGGATTCCGGCACAGCTGATCATCGGAACAGCTGATCGTCCTCTCCTTCCTTCCTCCTCTCCTTCCTTCATTTCTCTTCTCTTTCCTTCCTCCTCCCCTTCCTTCCTTCCTTCCTTCCCTTCTCATCTCCTTCCTTCCTTCCTTCCTTCCTTCCTTCCTTCCTCCTCTCCATCCTTGCTCCTAGGCGAAGCAGTAAGACAGCAAGAGGGATCCCGGCACAGCTGATCATTGGAACAGCCGATCGTCCTCTCCTTCCTCGCTCTTCTCTTTCCTTCCTTCTCCTCTCCTTCCTTCCTCCTCTCCGTCCTTCTTTCCTTCCTCCTGGGCGAAGCAGTAAGACAGCAAGGGGGATTCCAGCACAGCTGATCATAAGAATAGCTGATCTATCTATCATCATCTTTCTCTCTACCATCTATCTATCATCTATTTATCATCGATCAATCATCTATCTATGTATCTATCATCTTTCTTCTTTCTCTCTATCATCTATTTATCTATCAATTATCTATCTATCTATCTATCTATCTATCTATCTATCTATCTATCTATCTATCTATCTTATCTATCATCTTTCTCTCTTCTTTCTATCTATCGTCTATCTATCATCTATTTATCTATCAATCATTGTCTATCTATCTATCTATCTATCTATCTATCTATCTAACTATCTATCTATCTATCTATCTCTTATCTATCATCTCTCTCTTCTTTCTATCTATCTTCTACCTATCTTCTATCTTATCTCTCTATATCTATCTATCTATAATCTTTCTTTCTTTCTTCTTTCTCTCTATCATCTATGATCTACCTATCTATCATCTATCAATTTATCATCTATCTATCTATCTATCTATCGTCTTTTCTTTCTCTCTATCTCATCTATCTATCTATCTATCTCTATCTATCTATCTATCTATCTATCTATCTATCTATCTATCTATCTATGTCATCTTTTCTTTCTTTCTCTCATCTATCTATCTATCTATCTATCTATCTATCTATCTATCATCTTTTCTTTCTTTCTTTCTATCTCATCCGTCTATCTTCTACCTATGTCTCATCTACCTATCTATCATTCTCTCTCTCTCTCTCTCATCTTTTCTTTCTCCCTATCTCATCCATCTATCTTCTATCTATGTATCATCTACCTATCATCCATCTATCTATCATCTATCTATCTATCTATCTATCTATCTATCTATCCTTTAACATACTAAGATATATTTGATAGACAGTGTATTGTCTGGGTCATTTTACATATATATAATAATAGCAATAATAATAATAATATTCTTTACTTGTATATAATAATACTCTTCCAACTTCTAATTTCTCTTTTTATTACCCTAACCATTGCTAAAACCAATCCCAAGTTAAAAATTAAAAAAAAAAAATTCGGGTGTCTTCTTTGTCCTCTATTTTTAACGTCGACCGATCCATTTCCACAAAGTCCACCAGTCTGAAAAGCGTGGCCAAGTTCGACCCTCCTTGCTAAAAAAAAAAAATCTTTTCTATTTTCCAATGGACGACGTCGGGATTTAGAATTCGCACCTCCTCCGCCTTTCGAGCGGTCGAGCCGCGACCTAGAAATCGAACGGTGTGAAATCCCAAAGGCCGGGGTGGTGGTTTTGGGTGGCTGGGGGTGGACTCGGCTCTTCGGGATGGGTGGCGAGGGTGGGATTCTACCGGATCGGCCCGCTTTCGGGTGAAACCGGTAGCTAACCCAAAGATCAGCCGGGAGCGAATCGGTTCACTCCGAAGATCGAGGTATTTCCTTTTGGTTTTTTTTAATTATCTTCCCCCCGACGATCAGCTGTTTTTTTTTTTCGCCCAACGATCGGCTGTGCCGCGGGCTTTAGATTAGCTAGAAGGCCGAAAAAACGCGGCCCTTTCTACTGTTTTGCTCCGTGGGGGGCCCAATAGGTCCCAAACAACCCACCACGCGCCCCAGTCCATGCCCACCCCCACAGAACCAGTTTAAAAATTTGCATCCCACCCTAGATGGCACCCAGGAAGAGGACTTGGCTCTGGGCTAGTGGGGGGAGGGGCTTCCCCCTATGAAAGAGCCCCTCCCCCTACTCCTGAGGCTGACTGGTTGCCGGTCCTTCCTCTTCCTCTTCCGCTCCCCACCCTCCGCCTTAATTTTTCCAGGCCCTCCCACCCTTTGCTGGACCAACGGCTGCCCCACTACTCGTCCTTCGGCTCGGTCAGCGACTGGCTGCGTGCCCTCAAGATGGGCCGCTACGAAGACAGCTTTGCCAACGCCGGCTTCACCTCCTTCGAACTGGTCAGCCAACTCTCGTCCGAGTGAGTGGACGTAAGGTGGACGGCGAGGCGGGGCGGGGTGGGGGAGGTCCGGAGGGAAAGCGGGGCGGGGGGACGGGGAGAGGCAGGAGTTGAGATTCGAAATCGGTTCGGGCTTGGTTCCGGCGAACCGGTTGTTCAATTTTGCGTCTGGTTCGCCCGAAACCGGTAGTTGAACTGACCGGCTGGCCCAGACCGCCCGCTCCCCTGCCTGGAGTCTCCACGTGGCCTCTTTTTCATGCAGCGTCCGCTCTGGGTGGGGGGCGCGAAACTGGACTTCGGACGTCCTCCGGAGCCCGGGGGAGAGGCCGTTTTTGCCCTCCCACAGGCCTGAGGGAAGCCTCCGGACTCTGTGGAAGGTGAAAAACGGACGAACCGGAAGTTCTGGAAGTCCGTAAATGGGCCTGTTACCGGCTTCCGGCCTACCTCCAGAGCCCAGGGGAGAGGCCGTTTCCGCCCTTCTAGAGGCCCAAGGGAAGCCTCCGGACTGCGGGGAAGGAGAAAAACGGCCGAGCCGGAAGTTTTGGAAGTCCGCAAATAGGCCTGTTTCCGGCTTTCGGAAGGCCTCCGGAGCCCCAGGGGAAGGCCGTTTTCGCCCTCCTAGTGGCCTGAGGGAAGCCTCCAGACTGTGGGAAAGGTGAAAAACGGCCCTTCCGAAAGTTCCGGAAGTCCACAAACAGATCTGTTTCTGGCTTCCGGTTGGCCTCCGGAGCCCATGGGAGGAGGCCGTTTTCGCCCTCCCAGAGGCCTGAGGGAAGGCTCTGGACTCTGGAGTAGGCGAAAAATGGCCGAACCGGAAGTTCCAGAAGTCCGGAAATGGGCCTGTTTCCGGCTTCCGGACGTCCTCTGGAGCCCGGGGGAGAGGCTGTTTTCGCCCTCCTAGTGGCCTGAGGAAAGCCTCCGGACTGTGGGGAAGGCGAGAAACGACCCTTCCGAAAGTTCCGGAAGTCCGGAAACGGGCCTGTTTCCGGCTTCCAGACATCCTCTGGAGCCCGGGGGAGAGGCCGTTTTGGCCCTCCCAGAGGCCTGAGAGAAGCCTCCAGACTCTGGAGTAGGCGAAAAATGGCTGAACTGGAAGTTCCAGAATTATGGAAACGGGCCTGTTTCCAGCTTCTGGACGTCCTCTGGAGCCCGGGGGAGAGGCCATTTTCGCCCTCCTAGTGGCCTGAGGGAAGCCTCTGGATTATGGGGAAGGTGAGAAACGACCCTTCCGAAAGTTCCGGAAGTCCAGAAACAGGCCTGTTTCCGGCTTCCAGACGTCCTCTGAAGCCTGGGGGAGAGGCTGTTTTCGCCCTCCCAGATGCCTGAGGGAAGCCTCCGGACTGTGGGGAAGGTGAAAACCGGCTGAACCGGAAGTTCC